GCAGTAGCAGTAGTAGTAGCAGTAGCAGTGGCAGTGGCAGTGGCAGTGGCAGCAGCAGCAGCAGCAGCAGTAGCAGTAGCAGTAGCAGTAGCAGCAGCAGTCGTAGTGGTAGGCACAAGAGCAGTCGTAGTCGTAGTTGTAGTCGCAGTCGTAGTCGTCGTCGCAGTAGTACTAGTATTGACAATAATGATCTTAGTATGTTTAGTAGTTGTAGTGGCAATATAGCGCAGGTGGCAATATAGCGCAGTATACTACCGCGGTGGAGCAGTAATTAGGCAGCAGAGTAGTGGCAGTCGCAGCCGGAGTAGAAGTAGGACCAGCAGTACCCGTAGCAAAAGTGCTGGTGTCGTAGTATCGTGCTCACTGGATTGCTGCAGGGCGTCCACGAAGTAGTTGAGTTCTGCGCATCGCAGCATGGGTCTAGCAATGACTGAAGCATTGCGACACCTATGCCCGTTCCCCTGACCCGAGATAATGTTTGCGCAAGTCAGAATCACACTAAATCCCAGATTGTTCTGCAAATAAGGATCGCTTTTAACTTTATCTTCTGTGCTGACTATTTGATCATGGCCCCCGACGTCTCTGGCGTCGAAAGGCCGCTTGATTGAGCTTCGGTTTGCTGCAACATGATCAGGTTCAATGTTTCAGAGGCAGAGTCTTTTGGTTTAGTGCCGTGGCTGCCGCACCTAAGCCCCAGACCGCAAAGTCCAAACCCCTACTACACCCTCAGCCCCTTAACCCCAAAACTCAACCCTAGACGGCCCTGAACCCTTAAACCCCTACCTAGACCCTGGGGAGGTGTAGCACAATCTACTGGATCGCGCTGCTGGGACTCTATCCCATCGTCGCAGCCTCCGTTCTCGTCGCCGTGCGGCCATCTGCTTGCACTGGGTTCAGGGTTTACGGTGAATTGAAGGGGTTTCCGGGTTTACGGTTTAGGGCGTAGGGTTGAGCTTGATGCGTTGTACATCTACAACATAGGCAAGCGTGTCTAAGGTGATGGGTAGGTGCGTGCACATGCGTATGTGAGGGTGTGTACATGTGCATGCAAAGACCCAGAACCCACAACCTGAGTCCTGTCCTAGGTGCATACTGTCTTACAAACGGACATGTAGTGAGAGGGGTATATAGACCGGATTGAGATCGGCAATCCAAGGTGCAGGTTCTGAGGAGTATAGATGCCCTCGGGCATGTCCCATGTAAGAAGCTCCCCATCTCAGGTAAACGAAACATATAGGGGCCTGAATACATATAGATTAAAAAACAAACAAACAAATAAGCAAATAGGTATGTGTATATGCAAGCATATATATAAATATATGTATATATGTA